GCGTCTTCGAAGCTCGTCCACAGTGCTAGTAGCGTTCAATACGAATTTCTGTAATTCCGCGAAAACTTCAGGTCTCCGGAGATTGTAGATCCACCCTATACGAGAGTCGTTAGGGTCGGTATTAGGGTGACGGTAGTTACGGTGGTGGTGGTTACGGTCGTAGTCGTAATTGTCGCAGCTTCGCTATCGCTCATCTTGGACGGTTGGTAAACAGCGACGAGGAATTAATTCAAAAACAAAAAAAAAGAAAGCGAACTTCACAAGGTCGGAGATACGGTGAGAAAACTCCCTACTTCAAATCTAAACGGTCCCTGCTCGGGTGCCAAATTTGTGAAGCCTTTTGGCTTTCCGCTGGACGGCCGGTCGGGTTTCGGCAGAACTTGCTCGAGCGCCACCCTTTAAGTTATTTGAAAGCGACAAAGGGATCGCTTACGGACAGCCGTAAGGTATCTAAGTGGAGTACAAAATGACCAGGGCTTCAATAATAGGAGCAGGCAGTTGGAATTGAAACTCACAATACACGGTAGTAATTACTTTTGGTAACTCAGCAATAGTTAACAAATTGATTTTATCCGCATTGTATATGGATTCGGGTTTAAAATCGAATTTTTCATAAGCATTCTTTAACCTGATCAAAAAGGAATCTACTGTATGCCTATTAAAGGCAGTACATCTAGCAAGACAGGTCTTTTCAGGTTTTCTAGTGATGGGTCTTTGCGCCTTTTTACAAAGGCCTTGTACCAATTAATTCTAACCTCATTGTTTTCGTTCCATGATGGTGACAGTGTCTTTTTCAATTTTCAAGCATATTTAAATGCTAATTGACAAGAGCCTTCTTACCCAAACCATGTGTCCGTTGTCCATTGGATGCTGTTATTAGATACTCGTTCAATAAAATTTTTCGAAAAAACTCTTCTATTTCCAATATTTGGTGTAAGTATAGGAAAAAGGTTGGTCACTTTGTTTAGCCTTTTTAACGAAGCGAGCCAGAAGGGATCTAGAAATTCCAAATGACTTAGCTACTGAACCAACTGACAACCCATATTTGATAACTTCTCTAACAGTATTTTCAATCTCTGCAGGGTCTTTTCTCAATCGTTTCCTTGGCGAATTATTCTGTTCCATTTTTCTGAAAAAGAAAAATGACTTGAATTATAACAATAGTTTAGTTTAGAGTTCGTATTGAAATGTTCATATTAAAAGAAAATTTAATTTGTTCCTTGAAAATTTGACTTCTAAAATACTAAACCTTCCGCCATGCTAGAGAATGTTTGTGTGGTGGGGCCATCACGTACACCAGCTGGGAGAGTTACTGGAAAAATGAAAGTTGCCTAAGTTGGAGGTGTCCCTTTCAATACGCGTCTCTTTCATTTCACTTCCCTCTTGTATCGATAGTGCGTTTAGAGACCGGAATGATGTATGCATTACGAGAGCTTTAAGAACTGCGAATGACTGCTGGACTGACCATCGGCTGATACGAGCCAGAATGATCATGCGCATCTCACCAAAGCGTAGATGTCGAAAAACGCAGTTCAAACTCAAACACAAATTTAAATAGAACGTTTTCCAGATGATCACATCAGAGCAAACTTCCGAGCCTATCTAAGCCAGAAACTTCCGTTAGAGTATCCGGAAAGCTTTGAGGAGCAATGGAAAATACTGAAGACCGCAATAACATCTGCCTCGGCAGAAACGGTCGGCTACATACAAAAGAAACATCAAGACTGGAATTATGAGAACGACGCATTCAAGACCTTATAGAAAGAGAGAGAAAAGCACATAATGCATGGAAAAACGACCCCAGCTCGACTATTAAAAAAAAGGCAATACCAAGAAGCAAAAGCAGAAGTTTAAATACAAGCGCGAGCATTAAAGAACCAATTGTGGATAAGAGAATCAGCAACTAGCTGAATACAACAGCACCAGGGCCTTCTTTCAGGCTACTAAGACGCTATACGGAACAACCACTCAAGGACTCAATCCCCTACGATCCAAAGATGGCACAAGACTGCTTGAAGACAGGTCCTCCATTAATTCTCGTTGGAAGGAACATTTTCAGGAACTATTTAACAGAGAATCACAAATTAATGATGACATTTTCAACGAAATTCCACAGAAACCAATACAAGAAGAACTGAGCGAGGAACCTAGATTAGAGGAAGTTGAAAAGGCAATCAGACAACCAAAGAACAATAAGTCAGCTGGTATTACTGAGACCATACGTGCCGAACTAAGAGATGCCTCCATAGTTGCCATTTTTAAAAAGGGAGACAAGGCTCAATGTGAAAACTACTTACAGAGGAATATATTTACGTTCTGTTGTGGGAAAGATACTTGCCAGGATAGTATCAAATCGTCTAATCCCAACTGCCGAAGAGAACCTCCCAGAGACACAGTGTGGCTTAAGATCCAACCGAGGTACAACTGACATGATTTTCAGTGCAAGAGAAATCTAGACAACAAAATCGCTCTCTTTACATGGCCTTTATAGATTTGGTGAAAGCATTTGATTCGGTCAACAGAGAAGCTCTGTGGAAGATATTGGCAAAGGTTGAGTGTCCGCCGAAAGTAAATCCAGATACTCCGCCTGCTGCATGATAATATGAATGCAGCCGTCCTAAGAAACGATGGACATGGAGAATCCTTTCAAATGACCATAGACGTTAAACAGGGTTGTTTTATAGCCTACCCACTCGATTTTCTCTATTTATAGGATAGATACTCCACCCTGTCGAGGGTCATCTGCCGTCAGGAGTGGAAATCCTGTACAGATTTAATGGCGGCTTATTTAACCTGAACAGATGACGAGCCAAGACAAAAGTATCGACGACATCGAGAATTGACCATCAATAGGCGGATGATAACGTCGTGATGGCCAATACAGAGGAACATCTCCAGACAATTATCAATGCATTCAACCACGCAAACAGGAGAATCGGCCTAGAAGTCAACTTCAACAAGACGCAGATCCTGCACCAACTCGCACCGGGAACTAATCTCCAAGCCCCAACTATAACTAAGAATGACCTGACCATTCTTTGCAAAACGTAGAACACTATCCGTGCCTTGGGAGCCATCTGGCAGCAGCTGCACCCATTGACGCTGAAATTATTCAACATCGCTTGAAGTGTGGTAGCGCAGCGTTCGGACGACTTCTAGAGAAAGTCTTCAACAATCACGACATCGGCGCTGAGACCAAACTTCGTATTTACAATGCAGTTGTAATGCCAACACTTACATATGGCTGCGAAACATGGATCACCTACAGAAGAAAAATCCTCGAAAAATACCACCAGCGACGCCTAAGAAAGATCCTACGGATTAAATGACAAGACCGAAAAAACGAATATTTGTTTTTTAGAGGTGGCCAAAACCACTAGCATGTCACCTCGTCCGTATTTCCGAAATACGTCTTTCACACCAGATACAGTCAACTGAAAGAGGGAAAACGAAATCAAGGAAATCAACAAAAACGCTACAAAGATATTTTTAAGGAAAATATGACAAAGTGCCGCATTGATACCAGCAACTAAGAGACGACGGCAAATGATAGGCTCTCATGGCGTCGAGTAGTCCACGATGCACCACAAACTTTTCAAGAACAGCGACGCAGACACGAAACCGTAAAAAAGGACCGCAGGAAGGAGCAAGAGAACAGAGGAAAAGACAATGCTACTAGAGGCTGGATGTGCCAAGACTGTGGAAAAGTGTGCGGTTCCAGAATTGATTTAAACCTATAGCCATCAGAAAATGCACAATCGACGACATTAAGAATAGAATAGGAGACAATCATACTCGATATCTATTGATTGACTATGACGATGATGGCATTTGCGTGACAATCGTGTTTTTGCCTTAAAGCTCAGGCTGTTGGATTGTTCTGTCATATTCACCAGAAAAGCGCAATCAAGTCCCCATTCGTCGCTATGATTAAATGATTATTTCTTTTTTCTTTTGAGCCATAAAAGTAACAAAATGTTATTCGAAAAACCGTTTCAGCTATACTGCGATTAAGCCAACGAACTTCTGTAAATGGCTTCATGAAATGATTCATGTGAAGTATTTAAGACGCCAATGACTCTTGATGAATGATACTGTCACGCAAGCCATAGTCTTTCGTTACAATACAGTGAATTCCAACAAATTCCCATTCAGGTGTTGCTGCATCTGAAATTTTCTCACGTATTTTCGTTACAACACCGGCTTTTCTAACAACTCATAGCTGGTTCACCGTCAGTCGTAATACTGCATAAATTTTGCAAAATGAAATTCATTAATATGAATTGCTTACTCAGTCGCCTGGTGAATAACTTAAGCCGTATCCTTCGCAGGTATCTAAAACATTTAACATTAAAAATTTGAATGTCCCTGAGAGGAAGTTATGTGCAATTTTATTAATAAGTATACAAACTAGGGACCGGTTTATTCTTTTTCAGATAAACTTGCTAATAACTATCTGGAAGATAAATTTACGGTTCTATAATTCTATTAGTCGCCGAATAACTGCTTGACCAATGGGATTACAAATTGCGTTTTAATCCGTCAGATCGCATACCTGACAGTTTATCAGAAGGTGAATAAACCGGTACTAAGTGAAATAATTCCATTTAGGTAACCATTCTTATTTATCTTGCATAACAGAATACTGTTTCAGAGATAAACACGAAACTGGTGAAAGGAATCACATAACCAATACAAAAACGGATTACCTATTTATTTCTATGAGTGTGCCAATGACGGCGGACTGATTTACGCGACAACATGCCTGGTGCTTCTGACACACTTTAGGATGTATCAGAAAATACAAAAAATATTTTTCATATCCAACGACCTGATTAACGTGCCATCAAAAGCATTGTGCCTGTCTGTGCCACTGACACAGTTTAAAATGTGAAAAATAGTCCACAAATTACGTTCATTTCAATGAGGCGCCTGCAAATTATTTTTTTTATTCGAATTCGATAGCTAGACTTTTATGTACAATATGTCTTTTTTTCCAGGCTACGACCGATTTATATGGAAAATGCACCACTACACACTCGGGCACCAGCGCAGCAGCCCCAGAAGCAGCTGGAGTATTTGCCCTCGCCCTAGAAGCCAAGTAAAAACTAAACTATTTCCAAAAAAAAAACAAGACTCAAAAAATTAATTTTAGCATCAAACTCTCCTGGAGAGACATTCAACATCTCACGGTTCTAACATCCAAAAGAAACTCCCTGTTTGATGCCAAAGGTCGTTTTCATTGGACCATGAACGGAGTAGGTTTGGAATTCAATCATCTATTTGGATTTGGAGTTTTGGATGCTGGAGCTATGGTGGCGTTGGCTAAGCAATGGAAAACGGTACCGCCCAGGTACCATTGCGAAGCTGGCACAGTCGCGGAATTACAGTAAGAACACTTTAATTTTTATTATTTTTAACAAAATTGTATAGTTCAGGATACTAACGTTGAAAATACATCGTTATTTGTGACTGGAAAAAATAAATCATTAGTTTCTCAGTAGTTTCGATAGAAAACGCTCAGCTTGAAGAAGTGCTCAGGGTTCTGTTATGTGCTAGGCACTAATAGGCTATTGACTATGTCGAAAAAAAACGGTGGTAAAAGGAACTAAGACGTTGGTGGAATTTTATTGTTTAATATGATCAATGGGTTCCTAAAGATGATAAAACCGCGAAGTTCTACCAGATATATGGGTCTACTAAGTCTATATATGGAATGCAGATATTTAGTGGTGTTGCGTTGGAGTGAAATTAAATAATGTCATACGAATAAACTTTTTTATAAATGTATTTTAAATATTTGTACCTGATTGAGGCCTGGACGAAAACCTATGAGCCAACAAAAATAATAGAGATTGGATATCGGAAGACATTGTAAAACCGATATATATTATGTTCCATCATTCTGTCAAAATACTTTCAATATCAATTAAATTAATATCAACTTCAGCATTGATTTCATTATTGATGTCTTCTTCAGTAATATCTGGCATTTCAACTTTCTCGCAGTTGATACCAGTATATTCTTTGCAAAACATGGAACAGGTTATTCCCAGTTTCCTACAGCCACAGAATGCTTGGCAACCTTTCGTGCATCCACAAGCAATTCGCTCCAGAAAAGTTTGCGGGGCACGAGGATTGATCGTCTGTATTGGTATTAAACCATTGTAAGACTTTTTTCAACCCCAGTCAAGTGGATCTAGAGAATTTTGATTCCACTGCTGGACTTGGTGGTACGTTCTCAAGCCGTGCTGTTTAGTGGCATCAAGAGTAGGTGGTAATTGTGTTAGTGAAAACTTTGCGATTTTTGACAGGCGTAGAAACAGTTGGTAGCGACAGCTGCATACACTGTTTCTCTTCATCCCATATAATTCGGTGACTATGTTTTCAGCAGCTGAAACAATGTCCTCCGCATTCGCATCATCTTGCAAAAATATTTGCATGCTTTTCTCCAACCTTGAAATATTTTTATTTATGAATTTCATGAATTTCCTTTTTCCCGATGTTGAAAAATGCCGATGTTGTATCGCAGCCACTAAATGCATGAATAAAACCTAGGAATTTTTGATTTTGTGGAAAGTTGAAACTGCTCCGGTTATAAAATTTAGAAGGGATATTTCCAATACTTAGCTTGAATAGATATATATTGGAATATTCTCCAGATAACAGATAATAAAATGAGCAAATCTACATCTTGGCCAATTATTACATTATTTTCACATCTATTACTTGCCTTCTCTTTCGCAGTATTCACTATTCATACATCGGCATCTTCTTGTGCCTGCTTAACTTCAATATCTGATTTTCTAAATTTTTCAAATAAATATGCAATTAGGCATTTTTTGTTGTTTTCATTGGTGGAAAATTTGTCTGGTTTTGACTCGGGTTTTGACAATGGCTTTGAATCATCTTTCACCAGACCAAATACCTGAGTGGAACTTGTTGGACCTTCGTATGGTAAAATATCCCCTATTGGTATATAGATGATAATTATGGGCATTTAATTTTGCGGATATTTCATGCATATCTTGAAGATACAGGTGAGAACATTTAGCATAGTTAAAGTGGCAGTTATAGAAAATGGAATCATTTTTTGTACACAATCCAAATGTAGTTTCCAATCGCCACATTTCTCAGCATGAATGAATTGAAATAAAATAGAAACCATTTGAAAACATTGAGCATACAGCTTTGCTGTTGGACGGTTCTCCTTTAAATCTTCCATTTCTTTATTGAATTTTTGTTAAAAGAAGTCAATTTTACCATCTGTGAGGTCGTTTTCATCAACATTTTCGAGTAGGCATACATCATTCAATATTTGTTGTTCTTCATCAGAAAATTGTAAATCTTCCAAAATAAGCAAAGCAAGGGCAAGACGGATTAATTACCAGCCATAATATATCCAATACAAACAAGAAATTAAATCCTTTATTTAGCATAAAAATTGCTAGTTCACAATAGTACCAAGTATATACATGAAAAGTAAGTAAATAATAAAATGTAAAATAATTCATAAAATAAATAAACTAACAGAACAAAACTTAATCATCACAAACGATACGCAGTAATTTAAAAGTTATCACAGGATCAACCATCCAGTATGTCACAATTACCTAGCATATAAATTTTTAGTTTTTTCTTAAAACTCAACAATGAAGTGCAGTTTTTTATCTCTTCTGATAGGTTATTAAACTCGTTAAATCCTTTATGAAAAATTGAATTTAGTGTACATTTTTTACTCTTTGGAGTTATGAAAAAATTATGTCTATTTCTGGTATTATAGTTATGCACTCCATTGTTGTAAACTATTTTGTTTATAAGGTATTCAGGAGCACATCCAATCTTTATCTCAAAAATGAAAACCGAGGCATTATACCTCACAAATTCCACAACCGGTAGCCATTGCATTACTGTTAACATTGAGTTTATTGGTGTATACTTGCTACAGGAAAGAATTATACGCATAGCCTGGTTCTGCTATTTTAATACTAAAACTTATTATAGACACAATATAATTGCACTATCATCATTGCATATCATCCACTATCACCCCCAAATATTTAAACTTTTGTACTCTTTGAATTTTGTTAGATCCAACCATCAATGCAAGATCATTGTCATCATAATGGAATTTGATTTTGTCATTGGTTATTAACATGAATTTTGAGTTATTTTCATGTTCTGAACAAGGCTTGTCAAATTCCTAGAGGCTGCATAAACCAGTGTTTCATCAGCAAATAAGTGAACATTAGCATTTCTTAAAATATCTGCCATGTCATTTATATATAAAATAAAAAGTAGTGGCCCCAGTAGGCTACCCTGAGGTACACCATGATAATTTTCTAAATTTCCAGAAACCCTTCTATTCACTTTAACATTCTGTACTCGATTTGCCAAATAGTTTTTAAATCATCTTAGTACACATCCACCAACACCCACTGTTTCAAGTTTATTTAAGAGTATTTTGCGGTCTACCGTCTCAGAAGCCCTCTGGAGATCTAAAAACACTGCAATTACCATATAGTTACTGTCAGTCCAATTCTTCCACTCATCCACAACACACTGGACCGCAGTTTCACTACTGTGGTGCGCTCTAAACCCTGATTGAAATTTAGTTATTAAGTTATTATGTTCAACAAAATCTAGCAACTGTATGTTGACAATTTTTTCAATTACCTTTTCTATTGCTGCAAGAGTATTTTTAGGCCTGAAATTTGTGGTATCAAGAAAATTTTCTTTTTTTGAACGGGTATGATGGTGGACATCTTTAAACGATTTGGAAATTCGCCGGTTTCAAAAGAACAATTTATTAAATTTATGAGTGGATCCGCAATGGCATCATAAATGTTTTTTAGTAGGTCGACACTAATTTCATCAGGGCTGCTTTTGGATTCCAAAGAAAAAATAACCTTTCTTAAAACTTCCGTATCGATCAATCTAAAGTTATCAAACTTATTCAACGCAGTTGAATAATTATTATTATTTATAGAAGTGTCTGCAGCGTTGTCTATTTCACTAACAATTTGCTCTATGCTGTTAATATAAAAGCTATTTAACCTATCAGGCAGGATATCATTATCATTAACCACTTCACCGTTAATATGAACTTCAAAAATTTTCAGGGATTTTTTATTTTGCGGTAATATTTGACCTAATACAGACCACATACTAGATGGGTAATTTTTGCACTGATTCACCTGATTTTCAAAATATTTTATTTTTACCCGCCTAATAGTCCTAACTGCCACATTTCTATTCACTTTATAAATTGCGTGACTCGCCTCAGATTTAATAAGCTTGTGTTGTCTGTTGCTGGTGACAAAGCTAGATGAAAACCTCCGAGTTTGACAACCACGTTTCTCACATTTAAAGCGTCACTGCACGAAGTAACAATGTCTCTTGCTTTGATGTATAATGGTAAATCAAAAGTCACGATACAAAAATCTTGACCTGACTCGTTTGATTTGCTGACGTGTCATAATCTCTCGGATTTGCATCAATATTGGGTAGATAAATGATTTGTGAAACATCAAATATCTTATTCTTAGTAAGTGACTCATAATAACCATTCCATCCTAAAATTTCATATAGTCATTTAATAGTATAATATGATATAAGTGCATAAGAGGGCCTTTAAAGCACGCGCGGCATATTTCAAAACACGACGCGCAGCGGAGTGTTTTGTAAGTCGCAAGGGCTTTAAAAGCGCTCTTATACACGCATATCATACGCTATTTTTTATTACAAATGCATCATTATCTCAAAAAGGTGTTCATTCATTTTGATAAATAGTAATTTAAACAGCAGGTGAATATAAAGGTATTGAAGGTAGATCAAACGATTCTATAGAAAACCTTTGAAAAGGTAGGCGCATCATAAACATCATTTTATACACGCTGCAGCGTGCGATAATCGTTGTTTATGATGCATGCGTGATAAAAAAAAATTTTAGAATCAATATACCAACCTATTTTCATAATTTATTAATACATGTAATGTATGCAAACAAACCTGGCGTTTTTCACAGTATTTCCATTTCTCGTAAAACCAAATGCAATCAATAGAATTTACTTCAATTTTATTCGTCAATTGATTAAGAACTTGCAAATTTTTGACAACGATGGAAGCTAATCCAGGTTTCACTTTGTGAAAGGGTAACAAATCAACGCGTCCGTATTTTCCAACAGCTATACTTTGTGGTATTTTTTCAAGTCTTGGAATTGACGATGTAAATAAGTTTTCATTCGCCGGAGTAATGCATTGAGTTCCTGCCATTGCATGAAGAGTATTACTTCCTGTCAATGGGCACGTTTGATGATCAACATTATCAAAAATAAACTGAACAGAACCTGGTTGAGTGTTTTGTGTGTATGGATATAAAACGCTGGA